CAGTGATGTTGCTGTTTGGACGTGGGGTTTCCCCCGGTGGCGGGCAGAAGCCCTGAAAACCAGGGGAACCCCCACCAGGACCTGGGGACTGGCAACCCTACGCCCTCCCCTGCCTTCACCTGCAGTCTCCAGTCATTTCCCAATCCAGAGCTGACAAGCTTAGTTCTGACTAAACCCCTGTCTACTCATCTTGTTGAGGAAGACCTTGTTTCTGAAATCATATCGCTGAACGGTGTTCCAGTTCACAGTTTCTAGGAAGCCAGTTTGGTGTAGCGGTTAGGAACACGGACTCTAATCTGGGAGAACCCGGGTTTGATTCCCCACTCCTCCACGTGCAGCTGCTGGTGTGACCTTGGGTCAGTCACAGTTCTCTCAGAGCTGTTCTCTCAGAGCTCTCTCAGCCCCACCTACCTCACAGGGAAGGGAAGGGAAAGGAGATTGTAAGCCGTTCTGAGATTCCTTTGGGTAGTGAAGGGCGGGGTATAAATCCAGTCTCTTCTTCTTTTGTCAGTGTTTTAATTGGGGCAGGAAGGAAGAGGCCTAAGTTGCATTATCTGAAATAACACGATTTCCCTTTGCTGAGTCTTGAGAATCCCAGATTTTACATTCATGGCAGCCGTGACCATCCAGCAACTGCCTGATAGATTTTCTTTCAAAACAAAAGAACATTCTTTTAATTCTGGTCTTCACGGGAAACCGAGAACAAGCAAACAAATTCATCCTCTGGGGGGCTGCGTATTTGGGCATGTCCTGAATGAAACATTAATTTCTGTCTTTGAACATACCATTATCCTCTGCAGAACGTTTTTTCGTTTAAGAGCTTGATTGCAAATCGGTGCCCGTGAAACGTTTCTCTCTCTAATGCCAGGAAAGGTAACTGCGTGTGCCGTTCAAACAAACCCTCTTCCAAACGCAGTAAATTGTCATGCTAAGGGGGCACGCTGTACCTCTGGAGTGTGTTTTTAATGTTTGGCACTGTGGCCCTCTTTGCGCCAAGCACAGCTTGAGATTTCAGGAGTGCAGGGCCACAAAAGTGCTCTATGTCATAAACAGGTGAGTGAGGGCAACCAGTGCAGGTAAACCGTGCTTGACAACATGTCAAAAGCAGTACTCTCATAAAAGGCTGTGTTTTCTGTCTTCTGTTTGCGTTGTCTCCGACATTTTGAATGGCGAGACGGTCCCTCTCTGTGGTTCAAGTTCTGTTGCAGCTTGGTCAATATCGATTCTCCCTCTCCTACAGATACAGAGACTACTTTAGAGCTTAGTCTGGGTCAGGGGTCATTTTGCAGAAAAAGAGGTGCAGGAGCTCATTAGCATAACCTATTAGCATAACTCATTTGCATATGTCACACCCCCTGACATCACCCACCGCTCAGGCTCCACTGGACTGTTTTGGATTGCTAGCTATTGGGGGGGGACACTTGTAGATCTGCCCTCGCAGAGGAGGGAGAGCTTGTACCTGAATAAAACTTGGTCTTAAAGGTGCCACTATACTGTTTTGGACTGGGGGCCTGGGGGGGGGCTCTGCAACTTACCTGGCTGCTTCTTGCTCTGACTGAGGGCTGCTGGGAGCAGGGGGTGGGGCTTGTTGCATGTGCCGCCCCCTGGGCTCTTTACTGCTGGAGCTCCGCTCCTGTGCGCTCCTGCAGGAAATGACCCCTGGTCTGGGTGAATGAAATATAAGGGAATGGGTGAATGAAATGTACTTCTGTGGTCAGAAGTATGGGGGCCGGATGGTTCTCTGAAGAGCAGCATTATGGGGTTGGCTCATAAAGCCCCGTGGTGGAGGGCAAGCTTTGGATATAGCAGGGCCTGGCTTGAATAACTGGCATTTCATGAACACACCAAGCTGCCTTGTCTTCTTGAGTCAGAGCATTGGCTCTGTCATGGTCGGTGTTGTCTGCTCAGACCGGCAGCAGCTCTCCGGGGTCTCAGGGAAAGGTCTTTTACATCACTTGCTACCTGGTCCTTTTAACTGGGGATGCCAGGGATTGAACCTGGGACCCTTCCGCCTGCCAAGCAGTTGCTCTACCATTGAGCCACAGCCCCTCCTCTGAATGGAACTCTCACATGTAGCTGCCTTCTACTGAATCAGACCTAGGGGTCATTTCCTGCAGGAGCGCACAGGAGCGCAGCTCCGGCAGTAAAGAGCCCAGGGGGTGGGCACATGCAACAAGCCCCACCCCCTGCTCCCAGCAGCCCTCAGTCAGAGCAAGAAACAGCCAGGTAGGTTGCAGAGCCCCCCCAGTCCAAAACAGTCCAGTGGCACCTTTAAGACCAAGTTTTATTCAGGTTCAAGCTCTCCTTCCTCTGCGAGGATAGATCTGCATGTCCCCCCCCCCCCACGTGCCTCGACAACAAACAGGCAGAGGTCTCTCACGTCACCTGCTGCCTGGTCCTTTTAACTGGAGATGCCGGGGATTGACCCTGGGACCTTGCTCTATCACTGAGCCACAGCCCCACCTCTGAATGGAACTCTCACGTGTAGCTGCCTTCCACTGAATCAGACCGTTGGTTCATCAAGGTCTGTATCGTTTACTCCAGACCACTGGTCCATCATGGTCAGTATTGTTTACTCTGGTTGGCAAGTGGCTCTCTGGGGTCTCAGGCAGAGGTCTTTCACGTCACCTGCTGCCCAATCCTTTTAACTGGAGCTGCCGGGGATTGAACCTGGGACCTTCTGCAGGCAAAACGGATGCTCTCCCGCTGAGCCACACCCTCTCTCCTTCCATGATCTCGGGGGCTTATCCCTAAGACCATGGAGAGCTGCTGCCAGTCAGAACAGGTAATAACAGACTTGGATGGACTGATGTTCCAACTCGGTATGAGGCAGATTCCTATACAGATGTAAGATAGATGCCCTCAACCTTTCTGAGCCCATGGGCACCGATGGAGTTCTGACACAGCATGGTGGACGCCGGCAAAAAATGGCCGCTGCAGCCTACTGTCAGTTTTACCATGAAGATCCTGGTGCTGTGGTAGCGGCTGCAGCCACAGTGATGTTTTTAAAAACCTGCACAGCCAATCAAGTCTCCAGTGGCCTATCAGAAGCCTTGCTAGGCAAAAGCCCCACTTGGCCCAGCCCACTTTCTAAACATTTGGTGAGCACTAGGAAAGGTGTTGGGAGCGATGCTCCCTCTACGCTGTGGAGTCCTGTGAGCAGAAATTCTCCTTTGTGAGCTACTGGCATTAAAGTTGTGAGCGAGCGATTTGGCGACTGCATAAATTAGTTGGCTCTGGAGCCTTCCTTCCCGAGCTGAGACAAAAATGTGTGAGCCAGAGGCTAAAAAACGGTGAGCTAGCGCACACTAACTCAGCTTAGAGGGAACACTGGTGGGGAGAGGGGTGGGGACCCCTGATTTCAGAGACACTCTGATTACTTCAACTGCAGGGATGCAAAGTGCTTCTGATGCTTCTAGTCCAGACTTGCGGCGTGCTTCACTCCACAGGGCTCCCCTGTCAATAATAAACACCTGACAGGTTGGGGCCAGAACAAAAATGCACGGTGCTGTTGGTACATCTGGTTCCCTGCAGGGCATGGGAGTGTCCAATTAGGTATTTTTAAAATTAATTGCGCCTGAATCCCACCCTTAAAAGAATTCCTAAGACGCTCAGGAGATATATGTAGAATCGTGGGTGGTTGTTTTTTTAAAAAAATTGTCTCCATAAAAACCTGTGAAATAGGTTAGGTTGCAAGATGAGGCCTTGCCCTTGGGAGAGCCAGTGTGGTGTTCTGGTTAGCAGTGGCGGACTGCGATCTGGAGAGCGGGCTCTGATTCCCCACTTCTCCACCTGAAGCCTGCTGGGTGGCCTTGGGTCAGTCACAGTTCTTTCCGAGCTCTCTCAGCTCACAAGGGGACTGCTGTGGGCAGAGGAAGGGAATGGTGATTGTAAGCCGCTTTGAGACTCTTCTTTCTTCTTTTTTTTCCCTTTGGTATTTTTTTGGATTTTTCATATGTGCATATGTGCGTGTGTGTGTGCACACTTGGAAGTCATGGCGACCTCTGGTGACTGACCTCTACTTGGGGGCCTGGAGGATATTCAGAGAGGTGGCTGAAAGAAAGCCTGCCCCCGCCTCCCGCCTCTGGTATTCCAAGGAGGTCTCCCATCCAAGGACTTGCCAGAGTCGGCCCTGCTTAGCTTCTGAAATCTGATTAGATCGGACTTGCCTGGGCTATCCAGGTTGGGGCCCTTCTTCTTTGATGCTGACCAGGGATGAATCCAGGTCACCCCAATTCCTGCCTGTGCGCCATTTTCCCTTAGGACAGTGGTGGCGAACCTATGGCACAGGTGCCAGAGGTGGCACTCAGAGCCCTCTCTGTGGGCACGCGTGCCATCGCCCCAGCCAGGTCCAGACCATCATTAAAGTGTCGAATTCTCTGCCAAATAATTTTAAGTAAATGAAAGCATTTGGGATTGCTTTCCTTACTTTGTTTGGATCATCTTAAGTTAATGTATGAGTTGTTTTTTCTAAAGTAAAACCTCAGTATTCAGGTTAAATTGCCGTGTTGGCACTTTGCGATAAATAAGTGGGTTTTGGGTCGCAGTTTGGGCACGCTGTCACTAAAAGGTTCGCCATCACTGCCTTAGGACATGGCAGCGCATAAGGCAACTGAAGGCATGCCTTTTGTCCTTTGCTGCCATATGTGTAGAAAGAGACCAGTGCCTGGTCAGTTTGAACAGTTGGTGTGAATGTTTACTTTGCTCCAGACACACAGATTAAGAAGCCAGCGCGGCTAACTAAACATTGATCCACTCTGCTTTCTTGACACGTCGGCAGTCCTTCCTGGGCTGGTGCCATTTTACAGGTGGCACAATGGCATTTTTTTTCTTTTCAACCTCCGATAACCCCCGGATGATTTTTTTGGGGGGAGCTCCACCAATGGGACCCACCTGAGACTTGCAGACGGCAGGGTGCGTCCCAGCAAGGCGGCCTCCATAATTTCCTCTCTTTCTAGACCGTGAATATTCATGACTTGCATGTTTTTCTTTCCCTGCAGGGAATCAAAAAGCCCTTCACTGAAGTCATCAAAGCCAACATTGGAGATGCGCATGCCATGGGACAGCAGCCAATCACCTTCCTTCGTCAGGTAGGATGACCCTTGAACTGCTATGGGGGTGGGAGGGCAAAAACCCCTTCTATTTGTCATGCAAGAGCAGTTGCAGTCGGCTCAGTTCAAACATCACACCGAACCTGGAGGTCAAAGGCAGATCATAGGATCATAGAACCACAGAGTTGGAAGGGGTCATACAGGCCATCTAGTCCAACCTCCTGCTCAAATCAGGATCAGCCTAGAGCAGGGGTGTCAAACTTGCGGCCCAGGGGCAGGGTTAGGCCCCTGGAGGGGTTCCATCAGGCCCACAGTGGAACTGGCCATCTCCTGCTTCCAGTTCTGCTGCTGCTGCATCCTAGCTTGCTTCGCCAGACTCTCTTAATCACTCAGCCATTTCATGTTCTAACCTGGGTCCTAGACTCAGAACTCCGAGCATGAGATTTCTGTGGTGAATGTCAAGAAATCGAAAGTAGGTTTGCAGCTTACAGAACTGATGTTTTAAGCATGTTTTTATTTTAAATATAAAAACCTTTGTGTTTGTGTCCTTTATAACGTTTATATCTCCGCTACCTGGCATTACATTCTATAATACACATGTTCCCTCTAAGCTGAGTTAGTGTGAGCTAGCTCACAGTTCTTTAGCCTCCAGCTCACACATTTTTGCCTTCGCTCAGGAAGGATGGTTCCAGAGCACACTAATTTATGCAGTAGCCAAATGGCTCACTCACAACTTTAATGCCAGTAGCTCACAAAGTAGAATTTTTGCTCACAAGATTCCACAGCTTAGAGGGAACATTGGGCCCGGCCTAAGGAGGTCTCATTTATGTCAGATCCGGCTCTCATAACAAATGAGTTCGACACCCCTGGCCTAGAGCATCCCTGACAAGTGTTTGTCCGGCCGCTGCTTGAAGACCGCCAGTGAGGGGGAGCTCAGCCCCTCCCGAGGCAGCCAATTCCCCTGTTGCACAACTCTGACTGTAAAACAGTTTTTCCTAATATCCGGCCGGTGCCTTCCCGCCTGTAATTTAAACCCATTATTACAAGTCCTGTCCTCTGCTGCCAGTTATCATCTGAAAGATGTTGGGTGTTTGGGGTCATGGAAGAAAGCTGCGAATGTGGCGTAACCTAATATGCACGGGGAATGCTAAGTACTGTAACCTTGTTCTGAAAACTGAAAGCAGTGTTGTTAATCCTCCATAGCAATAACGTTTGTGTGTTGTTGTTGTTTTTTCCCCCTGGGCCGTGTAGGTGGTTGCACTTTGCACATACCCAAACCTGTTGGACAGCCCGAGCTTCCCCGAGGACTCAAAGAACAGAGCAAGACGGATCTTGCAAGGATGTGGAGGGAACAGTTTAGGTAATCTTCAAACAGGATTAATTTCAACTGCGTTTCTTTTGTTGTCGTGACTTTTTATTGGTTGTTAAGCGCGTCGTCTGTTTTCTGTGGGGTTTTAATGATAGCCGGGAACGAAGCCTTTTGGTTTCTTTTCATAGCGGCCGTGTCTTCTCCCTCCCCCAGTTGTGTGCTTGACCATTTTTGTTCTCTGCCTTCCAAATGTCGCCCATACATTTCATATTGCAGGAGGCATCCTAACAGAATAGATTGTGTTCATCTGGTTTGCAGATGAGCCAGTTTGGTGTCGTGGTTAAGTGTGCGGACTCTAATCTGGGAGAACCGGGTTTGATTCCCCACTCCTCCACTTGCACCTGGCTGGATGATCTGGGGCAAGCCATAGTTCTGATAAGAGCTGTTCTTGAAAGAGAGCAGTTTCTGTCAGAGCTCTCTCAGTCCCACCCACCTCACAGGGTGTCTGTTGTGGGGAGGGAAGGGAACGGAGTTTATAAGCGGCTCTGAGACTCCGAGTGAAGGGCAGGGTATAAATCCATTCTCCTCTTCTTCCTTCTGTTTAAAATGAAAAACAACATGAAGCTGAATGGACAATCGAAGGCTTTAGCACCTAGTTAGAGAGGACAAGACGGGCTTGCTCCTAATATAAACACTTGAAATGGAACCCAGGAGTAAGTTCTCAACAATTCTAAAAAATAATAATAATAATTCAGCTTCTTGTTGCTTATCATTTTAAATAGCCATGGGTTTTTTCCAGGATAATTTGACAAAAGTAGAGAAGAAATTAAGCACTGGTCTGCTCCCAACATAACACTGAGCTGCATTAAGAGGCTGACGCCTTTGAACATAATAGGATTACTCCGGAGGAAGATTGGGATGAAATGAGTCTATATCCAGGGGCTCATTGAGAATGATGGAGTTTTCCTTGTAATACTGTAAAGATTTCTCTATAATATAATATGACGTTTACCTTGAAAAGATTGACTGAATGTCTTAGTCATTATATCACAGTGTTTGCTTATTTGTTTGCTGTAGACAGGGCTATTTTTGGGCAGGAACACACAGGAACAGAGTTCCGGCTGGCTCCCAAGTTGGCCACGCCCAGGAGGAACTCATTAGCATAATAGGCCACACCCAACAGCAGGAACTCATTAGGATTGGCTACATTAGGGGTGTGTGGCCTAACATGCAAAGGAGTCCGTCCTACAAAAAAAGCCCTGGACCGTTTTGACAACAAACAAGGTAAACAGAATAGCAAGCCAAAGGTGGGTGTGGCTGGATAACCACACTTCTGGTAACATGTGGGTGTGGCCTAATGTGCTAATGAGCTGTGCTGTCAGGGGTGTGGCCTAATGTGCTAATGAGTTTCTGCTGTTTGGTGTGGCCTATTATGCTAATGAGTTCCTACTGGGCTTTTTCTACCAAAAAAGCCCTGCCTGTAGATATAGGTACTTGATGAAGGGAGCTTTGACCCTTGAAAGCTCAAACCGCCCAAATTTGTTGGTCTCTTAAGGTGCTGCTGGACTCGAATTTTGCTCTTTAATGGCAGACGAACCCAGCGACCCTCCGGAACTGTGCTATAGATAGTGCCTCTGCCGTAGGGTATCGCCTACAACTTCTGGCTGTGACTGTTCCGATTACTTCCTTTCCAGTCAGGGAAGAAAAGAGAGTCGATATGACATTTCTTAGGGCATCATTAAAATACAAGATAGATTTCCTAATTTCTGCGTGTGTCGGATCAGCGCTGTTTTGCCACACGGCAGGGCCTGTAAAAGTCAGAGGCAGACTTAAAATCAGTGCTCCCCGTCATCAGGTGCTGCTTCGGGCCTTCACAGACATTTTTGAATTGCCTTAAAGGTAAAACTCAAACTTCGTGTTGACCTTTAGGGAATCTGTCTCATCAGATCCATTGGGCCCCTGGTCGTCAATTTTTCCAGACCCAGGACTGCAAGATGTCATAGTCCCGCTGTACACTGCATTGGTCAGGCTGCACCTGGAGTCTTGTGTGCAGTTCTGGAGGCCTCACTTCAAAAAGGATGTGGAGAGAACGGAGAGGGTGCAGAGGAGAGTGACGAGGATGATCAGGGGCCTGGAGACCAAGCCCAGTGAGGAAAGGCTGAGGGACTTGGGAATGTTCAGTCTAGAGAAGAGGAGGCTGAGGGGGACATGATTGGTCTCTCTTGAAGTATTTGAAGGGCTGTCACTTAGAGGAGGGCAGGGAGCGGTTCCTGTTGGCAGCAGAGGAGAGGACTCACAAGAATTGGTTTAAATTAAGGGCGGGAAGGTACTGGCTGGATATTAGGAAAAAACTTTTTTACTGAAAGAGTTGTGCAACGGTGGAATCAGGGATGCGCTAGGCTGATCGTGATTTGTGCGGGGGGTTAGACTAGATGGCCTGTATGGCTCCTTCCAACTCTGTGGTTCTGTGATGCGACTGTGAAGCAGTGTGGGACCTACTCCATTGCAAGCATGTGACAGGGAGAGGGGAAGCCGGAGGTATAACTGCTGGAGTACTGAGGCTGTGAGCTGCAGGGAATTGGGGGACAGGAAGTCCCTAACCTAAGCCAGGAAGTGCACTGTAGAGAGGAACAAGTTTGGGGTCACATCTCTGAAGGCATCTCTAGGGTTTCCAGCCTCCAGGTGGGGCCTGGGGATCCCCCGCTTTTACCACTGATCCCCAGCTGACAGAGATCAGCTGGGCCTCCAAAGCGGGGGTTTACCTGCCCCCCCGCCCCCACTTGGCAGCCCTAGCAGTGCAAGGGTAGGGAATCCCTGTGTGGAAAGATTCAGCCGCTCTCAGAACAGCAAGTAGATGCCAAATGCTGCATCCCCCGGCAAAGACTTGGGGAGGAAGCCAAATGTACCGGCTGATGGTTTTGTGAACACTCCTCATTGGCCATCTGAGGAGGGGATGAACACCTGAACAGAATTGGAAACTTGCCCTGGAACCTGTGGCTATGGAGTAAAGTTGCCAACATCAGGCTGGGAGATTCCTGGAAATTTGGGAGGGGGAGCCTGCGGCGGGTGGGGTTTGGGGAGGGGAGGGGCCTCAGCAGGGTATAATGCCAGGGTGGCCGAACTTGCTTGACGTAAGAGCCACACAGAAGTAGCATCAGATGTCTGAGAGCCACAAGACATGAACAAATATTACACATCTTTATTGGGAAATGTGCAGGTTTGCTTTTTATTGACGTTAACCTTAAATAAGACTGCCAGAACTAAAAAACAAAAAGGGTAAAAACGGGTATTGATCATGATATTTAAAGAGACAGATGCTTTCTCCAAGTTGGCTGGCCGGGGGGGGGGGGCTTAGAGAAAG